GGAGGTAGGATGGTTTGAGTTTTGCTTGATATTTTGAACATCATCCTATTTTGGTCAGCACCAACCATTTTTGGGTGGTTAATTTATAAGAGTGTTAACAACGCACTCTCTAACACATTCTTTGTTATTGGTTAAATTTTATTAAAAACTACAAAACCAGAAAAGTGACCCACTAAATAAGAAGAGGAACTCAAATATGTGATTTTCAATAAATCTTAGTCGACAATAAAGGGTATGTTGTGTTGCTGACAGTTCTCATTTTCTAATGTGAAATATCTTAAAGTTGGTTGTTATGTGTAAGTTGATATATGTGAAGCTATAAAATGAATTGAGTCATTTGGCACCAGTTGATATATCTAGTCCAGTTTTGTAGTGAAACAAATATAATTTTGACACCAGTTTTGGTTTTGTATCAGGTTGAAGTATTGAGCAAGTTAAGGCATCCCAATCTCATCACACTTATAGGAGCCTGTCCAGAATCTTGGACTCTTGTCTATGAGTATTTACCCAGTGGAAGCCTTGAAGATCGTCTAAACTGTAAGGATAACACACCTCCATTATCATGGCAAACTCGAGTTCGCATTGCTGCAGAACTCTGTTCTGCTCTCATTTTTCTTCACTCCAATAAACCTCACAGCATAGCGCATGGTGACTTAAAACCCGCCAACATTCTCCTTGATGCAAACCTTGTTAGCAAGCTCAGCGACTTTGGAATCTCTAGAATATTATCTTGTCAAGAGAGTTCTAGTAACAACACTACACAGTTCTGGAGAACTGTTCCAAAGGGAACTTTTGTGTATGTGGATCCTGAATTCCTTGCATGTGGTGAACTTACACCAAAGTCGGATGTTTATTCATTTGGAATCGTTCTATTGAGATTGGTGACTGGGAAACCAGCCCTGGGAATAACAAAGGAAGTGAAATATGCATTAGATTCTGGAAAGTTGAAGTTCCTTTTGGATCCTTTGGCTGGAAACTGGCCACTTGTGCTAGCTGAAGAGTTGGTTCGCTTGGCTTTGAGGTGTTGTGGGATGAATCGAAAGAACCGACCAAATCTTTATCCAGATGTTTGGAGGGTACTGGAACCAATGAGGGCTTCTTCTGGAGACACAAACACCTTTGAATTGGGTTCTCAAGGGCTATGCCAACCTCCTCCATATTTTATTTGTCCAATATTTCTGGTAATTCAATCTTTCAATCTTCAGTTTTAGTTTCAGCTCAGTCAAAATATAGAGAAATGCTGGTGACACTCTCTGAGCGTCTCTTTCTAACATCCACCCTATTATTGGTTAAAATTTATTAGAAATCACAGTTGAAATTTATTAGAAATCACAATTTTTGTAGGTATCACATCTCGTTTAACAAACACATCAAGTAATGATATGCATCCTAATGGTTGTGACAGTTTTTGCTAATTGTTATGTCACAATGTTAACTCTACATTTATTTGGTACCCTACCCTTTTTGCATTAATTCACACTTGACTTGCCTATTTTTTCAGCTTCACTTAGTAGTATTTCATAACCTTTTTTTCAGCTTCACGTAAAACAAAAGGTTTACCAAGTCCATGGATCTGTGAATCATAGAGCTTGAGTTAAAACAATAACAATTGTCAATTATGTTAGTTCCACTCACTAGGTTCGTACTTTGCAGGAAGTGATGCAGGATCCACATGTGGCTGCAGATGGTTTTACTTATGAAGCTGAGGCAATACGTGCATGGCTGGAAAGTGGTCATGAGACTTCACCAAGGACAAATTCTAGGCTTTCACATCGCAATCTTGTTCCAAACCACTCTCTTCGCCATGCAATCCAGGACTGGCTTCAAAAGTCACTGATCTAACTTCTCATTCTTTTATTAAATTGTAGCTCTACCTCTTTATATTTAGTTTCTATGTGAAATAGTTATCACTACAGTAATTTTTTTTCTTCTCTTGGTTTTGTTTCTTTTACGAATCTTTAAAATATGTGAACCGCATTTGTATCCATCATGTTGTATATAGGTTCTGCACGTGTTGTCTATCTTCAGTTATTGTAAAAATGTTGTATATCTTGTATATGGCTAGGCTAGCTAATTAAACACTATTATATATATATTTATACACTTTGGCAATGAGCAATGCTTTTTAATCTTAGGATGAACCATCCAACACACAGCATGCAACCACGTAATTTAATTAAAAATGATGTTTTATTGTATTAAATAAAAAATATAGTTTTAACAAATCTTTAGGAATGTTGACTAATGTATAGGAACACATTCCTTTAGGAATGTTAATTTAATTGTGGAGAATGTTGTGAAATGCACGTTTTAATGAGAGGAGAAAGAGTGGAAAAATCTCTACTTGCGATGGT